AGGGCGATCGGTATGGATTGACGTCATGTTTCGGACTAGATGTAAAATAGGTGTGCGCAAAATATGAAGGGTTATCACTCAAATGTTTTGTTAGAGTAATAAAATTCAACAATTACTCGTGTGTGCTCTGTGAATAGATTGAACAACGAAAAAAATTTTCACGAATTTGCACGAGGGAAAAACGAAACCGATTTCGAACGTACCGCGCGATGTTGCAATGTCATTTCGCCTGTCAGGGGCAGAGTATACAGTGTGGTGTGATGCATACTGATTTAAGGATCAGAAACGCGGTCTCTACAGGCGGAGAACGTACGAAAGCGATCTGTTTCTGACCATCGATGTCTCTGAAATATTGACAGTGTCGGGTGGGAACACCGGTTTGGCAAACACGAAATGGTTTTAGGAATGGATGGGTGATCTACTCACGCTTCGCAGGTTAAGTTGGTTAGGACGAGCCAGAGGATCTGCCTCGCGAAGCACTTTTCACCCAGCCCTGTACTGTGCGATACATGAACTGTTAACGGTCTGGCAACGAGGTGTGGAATGAATGACCAATGAAATGAGCCCGGTTGGCCACTGCCAACTTGTGTGGATGAGAACCCCGAGACCCAGCACATCGACGGTGAATGACACTTGCAGAAGTGACTATGTTTAAAGACAGTAGCGATTTCCTCAAACAGTGCCTATTTGTGTTCACCTACCCAAGTTGTCCCAAGTTGCCCACTTTCAAAAAAAGGCTACCCCGGCGAACCCAGGCTTCATGGTGCCTGAATGTAATGCATTGCATTATTATCAGCTGTAATATCTGCGTACTTACCGTTCAGTGGTTCTAGCTACCACAGTTTCGTTCAACGATGATTTGGGGAAGTCGAGTAGACGACTACGCATTAGAGCGGCAGCTGATATAATTGATGCGTAAGTAGGGGTGTCAGAAGACCTTCCATTCTTGAAATAGGGAATGAACCTGTGCATTGAAGGTAACGGCTTGGAGGCATGAGCATCATTGAGGAGAAGAGTGGGCCATGTATGATAATGTGGCTAACCATTGCTGTGTCCCGTCTCAAGGTACCCATCCTGGGAGACAGCAATGACCAGCGCAGCTGAGTTTGCAAGCGATTGCTTCCAAACTCTTGTGTTTGACGAGGATAGAGAACGGAAAATACTAAGGGTCTGAATATCACTTACTACAACATTTTGATTTTTCATTTTTGTGACCTACGAGGAGTTCATGAAAAGCTCCGTAGGATTTCGACGACAAATAGAACCTTAATTTGGTTCATATGCACTGCGACAGCGTTCTTAGGTGTTCGTTCCACTCGCACTCCGTTTTTGCCTAAGGTGGAACGTTTTTTTAAATATAATCCCTGGTGACTTACACAGTCTCTACGTGCATGTGACGAGTGTTGTTGACACAAATCAGTGATAACTAAAGTGCCATTCAGCGACTACGTATAACTATACAGTCGAAAATGAGGTATTTTTAGTGCATGTCCAATTTGTATGGGACGAACTAACGAGAAAGTGTTCACCAGGTTGGGGTAATAGCATCAGCCGGACGATGAAACGCATTGAGGAAACAGACCAAATATACAACATTGACCCTGGCTGAAGTAAATGCTCACAGGAGTTCGTTTTATAATTGAATTTCAAACCACTCTGACGCGTAAGGAATACGGTCGGGTCCACGGAATGTGAAGATGCGGTCGCCGCAGCCTCTATCCAGTCAAAACCTTGCTTGATTCATACGAGTAAAAGTTTTGCGTGCGAGATGGCCCAAGTGGTAAGAGCGCGAATTTACTGACCGGAAAGTCCGGGGTTCGAGTCTGACCGCCTCTCGACTTCCCCTGTCTAGGCTTGGGAAGCCTGGCAGTATCCCAGCCCTCGTGCCTCCGTGTGGCATGGCAACTTGACACCGAAAGGGTGTTACAGCTGGACGACGATTTTTTTGCGTGCCACTGTGTGACGACGAAGGATCGGTCACGCCAGAAGCCTTGTCACAACGACTACCAAACTAACACATCTGTGCTTACTACATTCACTGCGAGTACCCTTTTTGAAAATGGGCACTACTATCGATTCACCCAATTTGTTTGGAGCTAGACAGGCTAGACAGGCACTGACTGAGAAGCCAACCGCCATCCTTGAAAATAGCAGGTGGAACGTACTCATGGCATCACGATGACTCTTGAGTAGTGGAATACACTCCGACACTTCTGTAACTGAAGACGGCTCCATATTCACGATCCACCTTTCTGTTGAAGGCCATGATTCTGGATTGGAGGTAGTAGGTGGCCAGCTAAATTACTGTTCGAAGTACTGGGTTCAACTGTCCAAAAGTTCTGCTTCGCTGTATACTAGGGAGCACTTTTAGCCCCTTATTATTTCACTGACAATAGACTTATGGGGACCACTTGGACGAATCAGGTGGAACAGCTTGGTTACATTTCCAGCATTTTTTAAATTCCTATTTATTTGGCCTTTCGGGTTCACCAAGCTTCTCGGATGATTCGTCGGGTGGAGTTGTGGTTGCGGCCAGGAAGAATCTGACGCTGAGCCTCCGGCAAAGACATTGTCCAATTAGAGACCCCATGTTTGGATGAGGTTGGCTGGATTGTACTGCAAACAGAAGTTTCGGCTTTAAGGATCCCTTTGGATATCCTTTCCAACTGGCAGTTTAAATTCGACATCGGATCGTCCGGGAGGCGTTCGGCGAGCTGGTTCAGATAATTTCGTTCGATGTCTGAGACCGCCAGCTTCTCGATGGCTAAGCGCGGTGTGCACGTATTGCGCACGACAGCGAGGGGCAGTCAATTCAGTCACAGTATTTGTACACTGCTTCCTTGTTTCAGAAAGACAGCCTACATCAATGCATAGGGAATCCAGAGTACGAGCGAGAGCCACGTGTTGCCTTGCTTGCTCCAATGTGCGAACAGTAAAGGCGGCTAAGTAAACGGGCTTTCGGGGTTTGAAAAGAGACTTGAAGTGCTTAGGACTGCCACTGAAGTCGGACGTACAGAAACTGCGGCTGAGTGTGATGCAAGGCGGGTGAAACGGTCAGTCCTGGTGCTGAGACCCGCGGAGAAAGTAACCAAGTTGGGTAGGGGAGGTTGGAAGAGGGAAGACATGAAAGTGTAAGAAGGGAGGTGTCAGCAATAGCGTGTATTCGCTTATCCGCCCTGCTGTACGCAACAAGTAAGGCGAACCGACTGATGGCACAACGCGACGGCCTATATGACATCGGTATTGTTGGCTGTGGGTGGGGATACTACCAGGGCGCCCACACGTGGACAGGGGACAACTGGGGTCTTCGACCAAAGCCCTCGGCTCAAAAGCCTAACCACAATGCAGCGGTGTTGGGCTACAAATGCAAGTAAACTATCACTTTTATAGAACACGCACCATTTGTTTCAACCCCTAACCTGGGAGACCAGGAGACTGTTGGTCAGACCTCTAACAATTCACCAACCTAGTATGAGAGGCGCTATGGGTGTCGCACGGATACCCCTGGTATATCTCATTGGGTTGCCGAAGTACTCAAACCACAACATCACAACAATTCCGGTCTCGTCGTTGCAGATTCGGTGTCTTTGTGTCTCCTGTCCAGTGCTTCTCCCCTCTGGTTTGAACTCACCTGAATAACTGAGTCAGGACAAGACGGCATTTGTGCATTTCAGAGTCATGTGAGTGTGCGTTCTACAAAATCCCGCAACCTCCAACACGTTGCTTTGGGGAGTGATATTTCACGCTGGATTTTTGTTGTTGTGGGCGGGATGACATTTTGCATGCAGTTTCTTAAGCGTCTCATAATACCTCTGAAGTTAGCCAAGTGGGAGTTTCCTAAATCATTTTGTGGTTTACAGCCACACTCGACCGCTTCATTATTCTTGTCCAGTCATGGGCCTTCATGTTCTTTTTGGGTGGCTGTGTACCGAACGGGACGAGCCAGCGCCGATGAATTAACTTTTGCGGTTTCTTTCACAGATTTTCGGTCGGCGGTTAAACCAAACATACTATGTGATTTCTTCCGTTATATTTTATCCCAGTATCGTCCAACCTTTCAAAGATCATCACTGTAGACTGGAATGTCCGGAACCACTGATCGGAAGAGGAATCAGAAGGGGTTTCTCAAGGAAAAAGTATTGCAAGTATATGACAAACTTTTCCAAGTATGTTGTTTTCTGAATACCTACGTTCTTCCCAAGGGCCAGGACATAACACAGGGAAGAGCCGAGTTTTGGGATGATTTTTTCCTGTTGAAAGTACAGAGCATCTCACTGTCATGCATTTAACTGTTAGGCTAACTTGAAGTACTTAAATTCGCACTTCGAAAAGATCAACCCAGAAGACCTCACTCTTTTAAAGGTAAGAATTTTTCGTTTGACTACATCAATTTGGATCCGTATATGATCTTTTAAAGGTAAGAATTTTTCGTTTGACCTCATCAATTTGGATCCGTATATGGCACGTCAACTGGGGCATCTATTAACTGTATTGTTTTGTCTGCATCACTTGCTACTCTCTAGCCTATCCTCAATCGATTGTTCCTTCAATGCCTGCACACAGCTGAACATGATAAACACCGCATTCGTGTGGCAAATGCAGTCCAGACTATGGACGCACTCGTCGCCGGAATATATCGTTGTAAAGTTCCACCAGATTGGTCAGAAAATGCTAGTGAATTCCTATTGAGCTCGGATCAAGTGAAGGATTTCATGCAGGTCAGCAAATCTTGATACGCATATTGCCCGACTGTTTATTTTCGTTGGGTTCGGTTTAGGTTCTTCTGCGTCTCAGGTTTTGTTGGTTTTAGGTTGGTTGACTACCGAAATACCCATTCTGAATCACCCACCATTGTTAACTTCGTCCATTTATTACACTTCGCAGTTTATGTTTGATGGCCTGAATTCCTAGGAGGGGAGCACGTCGCCCCTTGGGATCTATGGGAGGAAGACTTTGGATTAAGGTGTGGAATTTCGTTCCAAAATATTCTTTGGAGAAAAGGAAAGCGATCGCTCCCAGAGGATCTTGAGAGACAAGAAGGATCTTAAGCCGACCTTAGTCGATCGTGGAAAACCACGTCCAAGATTAAAAGGCAAGGACGTAGAACGGATTCATAGTAGGTTTTCTAAAATGATCTTATTAGCCATACTTCCAATAATTTAAGGATGCTTTCTCAATCTGCTTTCAAAATCCATCGCAAACCGTTCAAGAGGTTATAGTTTTCCTACACAGACCTTTATCTTCTGATCTCAGAGGGAGGACTAAGGCTTTATTTCCGTAGATCATTCTCTGGATCGAAAACGCCAATCGATCCAGACGAGAATAGCTTCTGCTCCCAACCGATGAATTTCACGTGTCCAAGTTGCACAGGGTTACCGGCTGACTCAGGTTCCTTTCTTATATTCAAAGTATGCTTTCAATTACATTTTTAGACATTCTTTTTCAAACGTTGGAAAGAATTCATATTCAGGATGAAAGTAAAATGCTTATCTACGACATGCTCCGAATATAGTAGTTTTTGTCACACTCTTGAATAGCCAGCAAATCCAGTGTTTAGAGAATTTGTCGGAGATACATCTTTCCTATCCCAGACATAATCCCAGNACATAGAGCGGTTCAAATGAAAAATCAGTCATACCAGTTCTTTCATTATCTTGTGCTTCAAAGAATTTTTACACATCTCTAAACAATGAATCGTTATTGGCAGTATCGTGGAGCTCGAAGCAGTTGTTTGTAGTTTGCGTTACAGAATAGTTGATTTGATCAGTTTTACAGTGTGAGTTTCTTGTTGCTGGGCAGCGCAATAGATAAAAGGTACTGGACCTACCAAGTTGTCTTTAAAAGTTGATGCTTCTAAATATGAAGGATTAGTCAGTTGGGGAGACTAAGCATCAAGCCCAAATCGCCGATGGTTATTGAATGCGTATCTGTCAAGTAACTGGTCTTCTGCGAGATCTCCAGCAGAATTGTCTGAGTGGATACTTTGTAGGTATTTTATATTACCTTCGTAGGTGACACAGCTAGTTTGATAATCCAATTCTACTGTTTCTGTTCAGTAGTGTTCACAATGCACTATGCGATAATCTGGTTTTGAATCAAGTTTGTGCTGAAGCTTTCTCACTCTGGACGCTTGAAAAAGTAAAGCACTGGGGCTCCAGGCGGTCGCCGCAAATTAGTATGGTTCAGCTGCCGACCTAACAGCTTTCGTCAGTGTGATACGATTATGTTTGCGTCAGTTGGCGCATGCCATTCTTCTCAACACTTCTGGGATTTGGACACGCGTCGACTGACGCACACCGTTGTCCGCAGTTTGTCTGTGCCTGTTGTAAGTAAAAGCCCATGTAGTTAGTACTTGATATATAACTGTTTTGTTTGGCTTCCGATGCGGCTTCTTTCGAAAAGCCAAAGAGGCTTTGTTTCGGGGCTACTGCTTGTTAGTTGTGAACTTTCGAAAGAGGGTTCAAAAACTGATTGGCAACGTTGCTACAGTAATATCACCGGGAAATTTCTAAGGTACGTTTTCAGCCCAAAGAAGTGACTTTGGGACAACGGACTGTTTTTCTGCTTAAAAGCGGATGTGATTGTTCTCTTCATATAATGGATTATCAGCATTGGTAAACGAATTCACACTTCCAGCTTATTGAGTACCAGTCTATGGGCAGCTTTCCTTAGGGATTTTTTCTCATGAATTGCTGAATTTTACGGGAGCCTATCTGTAGCAACAGTTCACTATAGAAATTCTTACTTGGGTTTCACCAGCATTTCACTCTGCGGGATTTGTCGTAGTATCACTTAGTGGAAAAGGAATAGGAGTCAGCTGCCGTGTGACGTGTAAATTTCACTACACCACATGACATTTTCGCATAAGTGAACTTGACCCGTTTAACTCATCTATGTTGCTCTCATGCGGCGAATCATGACGCGATGACTGTTCACTCGACCAAGGGTGGGGCTTTCGTTTGAAAACAAGGAGACTTAGACACAAAAGAATAAGACGGGATGCACTGACCCTTCTGTATGGTGGGCGAGAATTTTTTCCGTATCCAACTACCTACCGAAGTTCATCACCTTTCAGGTTTTTATTCCCCATTTTTCTACAGCGGTACACCCTGTTGTGTTATGACACCTTCCGTGAGGATCGTCCTGAACGACTACGGACGCTGATGCTCAATTCGATGCGCACATTTGTAACCGTAAGTCATTTTTTGCGCATTCACAAGTTTAATAGCTACAAAACTATAATTATTTTGCTATAATCCTTTTTCAGGTCTTTTGTTGTGCTTTTCAGGCCTTGTTCGTGTCTGACGTGCTAGCACATTTCATGAGCACATTCCATACAAGCTGCCACCTCAATTACTCGACTGTCTACCCACTGTAATCGTCGTTGCTTGTGAAGATAGTATAGATAGGGTCACCTTCGTATGGTATGCACCTGACGGTTATGCCGAGAGCCAGCTGAGCTCTTTGGCGACTGGTACAACAAGGAGCCTTTGGACAAGGGATGCCCCATTTTCTTGATTTCCAGTGGGCGTACCCCTGAAATTCACCCTCTCCGGCGGCTGTTTTCGAGACGCATCCACATGTCACAAGTTTAATAGCTACAAAACTATAATTATTTTGCTATAATCCTTTTTCAGGTCTTTTGTTGTGCTTTTCAGGCCTTGTTCGTGTCTGACGTGCTAGCACATTTCATGAGCACATTCCATACAAGCTGCCACCTCAATTACTCGACTGTCTACCCACTGTAATCGTCGTTGCTTGTGAAGATAGTATAGATAGGGTCACTGTACCTTCGTATGCACCTGACGGTTATGCCGAGAGCCAGCTGAGCTCTTTGGCGACTGGTACAACAAGGAGCCTTTGGACAAGGGATGCCCCATTTTCTTGATTTCCAGTGGGCGTACCCCTGAAATTCACCCTCTCCGGCGGCTGTTTTCGAGACGCATCCACATGAACTAGGTTTTTCATATATACTGAATACCTGAATATATTTTCACAAGGCCCCAGGGGAGATGAAAGGTCCACTTTGGCCTCCTTCCATGAATACCCCCTGTTGAAGGGACACGCTATATTGAAAGTACCAGGACTGGAAGTTGGGACGATTGAAATAATGCACGTCGTCTTTTTATCTCGGTTCCAACTATGTCATTCAGGTCATCCCTCGCGGCGGATTTGTTTACTCTATTTGCCTCACTCTTATTCTAGGCCAGTTCCAATTTCCACGCCAATCCGTTCGCCTCTGGTTTGTTGAACCCGCACATTTTTGATGTGCTGCGGCTCACTTTGGTCAATGCACAGCTGCGATACCATCATGGTATGACTGCCTGCAAACTATTGGGCTTGTTGACTCAGCTGGAAAATACAGAGGTAAGCTGATGAAGCAGTATTCACCTTTCACCATCAGTTTGGCCTGGTGTCAAGTCACTGCGGTTTTAATTGCGCTCCTTTTTATCTCATACCCTAGCTGCGTAAAACTTAAATGAAATCACCAACCATGCTCTGTTCTCAGCTGGATTTTACAAGAGGGTAGAAATGAGCGTTCAGTCAGAACACATGATGTTCATAGCTTGCAAACACATCCTGTGATCTTGTAGTTATCCTTTATCTAATTGTATTTAGCAATCTATAATACCCTGCTATAAAGGGCTGTTCTTCAAGCTAAGTCGTTTAACGTGTGGTCACCCTTCGAAAGTCTCACCAACTTTGTCTTGGTTTCAACGTTCCTGTCGAAACCAGCCTCTGCACCGGCTGTAGAAAGCTTGTGATGATAATTTCGAAACAGTATTGTTGTTCTAAATGAATAGGGATTTTTTGGTGCTATCAGTATTGGTGTAATCGTGTAACAAGTTGTTCCAGTAAGACATCTACCCTTGTATACCCACTTGCACTTTGAAGTCACTCGTTTACGACCAAGCGGCTTGCAAATTTTTTGCGACAAAGGCTTTTAGAATACAAACCTCTACTCGTTTGGGAATTTCGTGAATTTTCTCACATGGTCTCAGTTGATTGATGGCGTATTGGATGTTCTTACCTATCCTTTCAGCTATCATGGGGGCTTGTGAACTATGGTCCCTACTAGTAGGACTTATGGTCAAATCTGACCGTTAGATATGCGTAGTAGTGGATAAATAGAGCTCATAATGTTACTGGGCAGTTCCTAAGTAGTTGCAATCATGACAGACTAAGGGTTTCACTGGTTCGGTCAGTTCCACTTCGTGATTTATCACTTTGATTTACTGTGGGCCTCACCGACTGAGATGCAGTTGCATATCCTTTCGTTTGTTTGCAACTGGAAGTGTGCTGTAATTGTCAGCTAGTAGGGTCACTGGTACTAAATGATTGGGTTTTCTTCAGCTACACGTCTTTTATCGTGTTTCATGCAGTTCCACTTCACCGCAGAGGTTCGCCCCATTCTTAACCAAAGATGCTTTGTTGACAACTACGCTACAGTATCTTTAATGGACACATTCGGTCTAGGCTGATCCATATCTGGTCCCGCTTTGTTTGGAACTTATGGATGCTTGTTTATGTTTGTACCTTTCCAGGTAGGCGATCCACGCGTACAGCAGTTTTGCCTGACGGATGACGAACTTCTTTTGAACGTAAGTCATACTTTCCTTTTTGAGTTTCATTGGAGCGTATTCAGTTACCTCGATTAGCGCGATTTTTTTGCTTGCGTATTCATGTGGGGAGTTTCTCTGGGTAGTGTATTGGAAATGTATATGAAACATGAAGGATTGCTTCGTTGTTCGGTCGATATGTCTCCAAAGGTGCAGGCAAAGTGACAAACACACAAAGCTGGTCCGACAAGGAAGCTTGTTCGATGGGATTGTGAGCGTTTAACACAACAGTCAACTTGACCACAGTGAAACTTCCTTCATAGGTTTTATTAGGTCTTTGAACCAGTATTTCATTAGCCAGGTCACCTTCGAGAGGCAAGCGTTGCTATAAGGGTATACTGTGTACAACATGCTTGCGAGGCAAATGCTGCAAGTTCTAAATAACTATTCGATCTGAACATTTTACAAGGAATCCTGTTTCCTCCTTACATCAGAGATTGATCACCAAGGCGGTGGAAATCTCCAGGCCTCCCAGTGTTTATAGAATAGAAGGCGTAGAATTGGCAAGCGTGAGGAGGATGGTTTCGGATAAACCTAGCTGACACGTGTTAGTGTGCGGTTATCAATAGTGATCAACACAAGTAGGTTAGATCTAAATTGCACTTAGTCTCACCCATCGTCACTCCCCCCAACTAGATAGTCGTAGCACTCAGAAGCCCACACAGACCAACGAAATCTACCACTGGCTTCTAACGTAAATAATCCATTGAAGCACCTTTAAGCGGAAGATTAAAGAATCAAACCCGATAAAAAATGAAACTCCCCCAACCCATCAACCACAAGATTTAGGCAACCACGCTAACCGACAAGACCCTTTAATTGACATTTAGCACTGGTCTAGTGTGCTAATCTGAAGAGGTCTTACTGATTGGTTCTCTGTCTACCTTAAAACCTGTCCAACTTGGTGACCTGCTCACTTGGCGTGATGAAGCTTTTGTGTCAAAAGTGATACGATGCCTAGTTAAAAAACCCGATTGTTTACCAAGCCCTTTTTAAACAATGACTTCACAGTCGGTTCCGAACTTCTTCCGATTGTCTGAAAATCCCTTCCTGTAGGTCGATACGTTCGTTGAGATTCAGGTATGTGCCGCTTTGCCGCTATAGGCGTCTGAAGTTAGCAAGCACGACCTGGAACTAAAAGATTCGTGCATTGTCCTCATCTACAATAACATCGGAACCGACACATCTCCCAAGACACGCACAGTGCTGAAGTGCAACCAACCTCTGTCCTTGAATTGTGAGTAGTGTGTTCACTGACTGCACATCCAGAAGCATGACGTTACAGTTTATGGGTGCAAAACGCATGCGATGAATTTGCTCAGTTCATCCAAGGAATCCTTTCGCCTTTTGACCTTCGAAGACGAGAATTAATAATAATAATCATAATAATAATAATAATCGTTCAGCTGTAGCACCCTTTTGGTGCCTGGGTGCCATGCCACACGAGGGAGGCACGAGGGCTGGGATACTTCCAGGTCTCCCAAGCCAATACGTGGGAAGTCGAGAGGCTGAGGTCGGGTTAGAATCACGGACTTTCCGGTCAGTAAATTCGCTGTAACCACTTGGTCCATCTCGAAGACGAGAGCGATATCGTCTGTAAATTCCAGACCATTAGGGTTTTTCGTCAGCAGCTGTTCGAACACCAGGGCTTTGAAGTCTTTCTACCGTTCATCTCTCGTTATCTTGACGATCTCAAAACCGAATGGAGGGAGTAAACATCCTTGTCGGACACGGGAGCTTTTGGACAGTTTCCCGTATTCGCCCACGTGCTCGAAATTCTGAAAAGAGTAGCCACAAACTTTGGGACGTTCCTTGCTGAGCAAGCATGTTAGAGAGGCCCTGTTTTCGAAAATGGGATCTGTGACCGATGTAGGCTAATGGACCAGACAAGCGCTAACTGAAGACTTCACACCCGTACTTGAGGAGTGCGGGTAGGAGATCATCTGGACCAGGAACCCAGTGGCGCTTAGGAGAACATATGCAGTTATAAACCTCCGAGGCCGTAAAGAATTCCAGAATTGTAGTGTAGTTGGACAGTTCGACTGAGTAGCATCATAGCCCCAGAAATTATTCACATTCTCGGCCCACTGGTTAAGACTTCCTTGTGAGAACAACATGGTCTCACCAGTTTGATCCTTGATCGTTGCGTTCATAGGTGGCTTGCAAGGACTGGTCGAACAGATGAATCGTAATAATCTTCGAGCATTCGCCGAATTCCTCGCCTCCTCGACTTCGTCAGCCTTCCGTGTCCACCAGGCTTCACGATAGGCGCGCACACCAAGTTTGACGTGGCATCTGATAGTTCTTTGGACTAAATTATGTTAACGGCTGGCGGGAACATCGCTCCGAGATTGGAGAAGAGCCACTCTTTAAGTGTAAAATCCAGTGCTTGAATGGATCTAGTAGCGCCATGCCTTATGCGGGAATTCCGGTATTCTGCAGTGATGTAGCGATATCCTTCCAGTAAGGGCTAACATTCGACGGTGGACTGGTTTGAAGAGCCTAGAGGATAGTTATGGTGCTCTCGTTTAATTTTGGAATCTGCCAGACCATCAGTTTCTAAGTGAGTTGTCAAACCCTTACACAAATGTGGAAGGCGAAGAGTGAGGAGACTCTTGACGACTGCATGGTCAGAATCCACGCGAATGTTCCAAAACGAGCGATGGAGAGGTATTGATATGCACTGTCGGTAACTGATGGTGATGTGACCGAGGGTCGTACGCTGTTGGAGAACAGCATGTGACCAGAAAACTTTAGTCATTTCCGAAGCTAGTGTTGCATAGCAATCAGCGCATAGCCGAATCACTCATTCGCCACTTTCCGTACGTATCAAGTCCAATCCACTTCGACGACCCAGTTGACTCTCAGATTCGCTAGGCCTGCCCACTTGCACATTCAGGTCTCGGACAACCGGAACGACATCTGAGCTTTTAGTCCGTTCTAACGGGGCGCTTAGGGTGTCATGTTGTCTCAGAAGGTATCGATGCTACAGTCGTTGGGACGAGAGCAGACACGCTCAGTTTAGCAACCAAAGCTTGGATTAGGTCTAGAGCTCTATACAGCCTCTTGGCAATATGGCAGTATGCCGCATTGTACGTATCCACAGTTGAGCGAAGAAGTGCACCAGACTGTTTACTTTAGGAAGATCTTAGAGACGCGTAATACGTGTCCCCGTAATCCTGAACTTTTTGGGTTGTCGTTTACGACAGTTTGTTAGCCGTCTCTGTACTAGTGCTCTATTGTCCTTTCCGTTAGGTACTAAACATGATTGATTCTGGTTTGCTTTACAGCCGGTTTTATTCGGGTGTAACACACCTGCTTTTTTCACGGTCTTGTAATGAAGATTTCCGAGCTGCTGATAAGTATTTTGGTGTCGACTCTGTTGATCTGTACTGAAAACTTGTATTGATAGGGTCAGATTTGAATCTGTCTGCCGCATTATGTGAAACGGCTATCAAACCTTTGTTTGGGTAAATTTCCACTCGGCTATCTTTAGCGTCAACACCATAGAAGTTTGCACTGAGAGAAAGCACTTCTAGGGGAGCTTCATCCAAAGTCAGATATGTAAAGTTATGTGCGTACCCGTTCAAATAATTTGGAAAGGTGAACCACGGCTATCTAGTATACAGTGACTTTTGCAAACGTGTCTTTTTTCCTGGTTACAGACTTGCATAGCATTTTGCTCAAATTGTCTACACAACAATACAAGGAGAGTATCCAAAGCAGTTTCGTTGTGAGCACAATTAACTTTCGTAACGGAGATGGGTGTTTGTGATATTTTTAGTTGCTTTATTGCCACGTCTCATAACCCTTGGTATGACGCACGTGATTTAAAGCTTTGACAGATGTCGAGTGGTGATAAGAGTCCGTGTGGTCACGTATAAAACTGACAGTTGAGTTTGACGCAATGGGAAAGGTAAGCACTTGAACCTTATAGCGGCTCGGATCAATCGCTTCGTCTGACTGCCTGGAAATCCTCATGGTCTTGTTGGGAACGGCACAGTGTGAGCGTGCATGCCACCTTTGAAGTACCTTCCACCGATTCAATATATATATATA